GGAATCCAGGGAATCCTGTGCCTAAGAGTCATCAATAGATAAAGTAATCATCAAAAATAAACAGGCCAAACATACTAGTGATGACAATGATGACGAAGAAGTTGACTCGGAACTTGGAGAATTAGAACAAGACTCTCAAAATCAAGGGGGAAACGGCGGATTCCCGGGAATCCTGGGAATCCGGAATCCGCCGTTTCCCCCTTGAATTATAGATTGCATTAGAGATGCTTTTCCATACTTTTGGATAATATATATATATATAGTAGTAAATAGTCAACAATCTAAGAGATCTTCAAAAATTACACAAGATTAATATCGAAAGGGTCATGATGCTGATGAAAATTTATTACTATCAAGTGTTCAGGTTGCTATAAGCAAAGGTTGCGTGAGAATCTCACGATCGGCATGAGAAGAGAGAGGAGGAGTAAATGTATAAGAAAATATCTCATAGAGATAGTAAAAGTTTTTTTAAAACTTTAGTAGTTTTCTTAGATAATAATAAATAAATTTGAATAATTAGGAAAAGCAGGAGGAATATACATCTTTACTTTTATGACCTTTCTCTGCAACAGCCTACTTCATTTCACTAATAACAGTCGACCAAATTATGATTGAATATCTCCCAATGAACCTATACAAGGTGCTAATGCCCATTTCAAAAAAGAAGGTGGGTCGGTATTTTTCGAATAACTTTTGATAGAAGCAAGATCGAGAGCTGCGGTTTTCACCGTTGGAAAGAGGCGGTGATGGCGCATCAAACTGTGTATTATAACTTATTTTAACTTAGTTTTTGCAAGGACTTAAAGCGACATTTTTGACAACGAACATATTCTGTAAGGTGACTAACGAGAATTTTCAATAGTTTGGTGTGCATTCGAACGGTTAACAAAAGATCCAGAAAAGTTGTGCAAGACCCAGAGTTTTAGAATTAGTCGTTTAGGAATGATAGGTGTTGTAATAGAAATTCTGAGCCAATTTGTCTATTAATTTTTGTGAAAAAATCACTTTTTCTTGCGGTTTTCTGATAAAATAAAAAAAGAATTTTTCGGCACGTTTTTTGAGAAAACTGTTTAAGAAAGGTTCAGAAAGCTTATTCGCAAAACTTATATTATTACGATTCGATGCGCCGTCATCTTCTCTTTCCAACGGTCAAAACCGAAACTCTCTAGCTTGTTTCTATCAAAAACTTATTCGAAAAATACCCATCCACCTTCTTTTTTGAAATGGGCATTGGTTCTCCAACAACTTTATGAAGAAGATTCGCAAGATGGTATTGAAATTGCATTACTTTAATACCAATATTAGAAAATATCAGCAATAGAGAGAGATTGTTTTTTTAATTTGGATAAAGTCTGATTTTACTTAAATCACTTACCGATAAACACAGAGTAGAAACCTATATTTATAAGAAATATATAAAGATTTGACTGAATCTACAATAAGAACCGATAATGAAAATAAAGTTTCTGTAGGGATTTTTTGTATTTTAGCTCATAGAAAACATTTGTTGTAAACCAAATTATATGAAATAAAGTTTGAAAGATTATGTTATTATATTGTAGAAAAGACAACTGCATTGCTTTAATTGCATTAGAGACATATACAAAAACTTCCAGCACGAGATCACTGAACATCTTGTATATCGAGAACACCTCGTGCATGTCCGATAAAAATGAATAGCGTCGTTGCTAAATACAATTTACTCCTAAGTAAGGCATATATCGTAAAATACGCCATATTTCAGTGCCATGTACAGACTCATGCTAAATTTTGTCTAGATATTTATAGAGGTCTACATCAATTCATAATTTGATTATTTATATCAAGTACTAGTATAACGAGTAAAACGGTTTAGAGCCGACTTGTTTTTTTCTAATGCTCTAGGAAATAATTTTAATCGATTGTTTTCATTTCTTCAATCATAAGATGCAGAATTCTAAAAAAGACGAAATCAATAAAAATTGTGCAACCGAAAAAAAATTTTGAAGAATTAATAAAAAAAAAGCAAGCAATATATGGAATAACTTATTTCTTTTATGTAATTAAATAAATTGCATATTAATAACAACAAACGGAGTTGAATATGGGGGAGGAGAGCAGTAGTTGAAACCATATTTTCGATTCCGTGATTCGTTCTTCACCTTTATTCAATATCAGATTGCATCTCTGTCGCCTCTTCCCAGTAGTGTCACTATTCGTTTTGAAAAACAGAAAAAGAAAGAAGAAAAGAAGTGATATACAATCGATGGTTACCTGCTTGAAAGAGATATATGGCATTCTTGGTAACGGGTAGGGATGTGAGTTGGTGTGCAATATAAAAAAAAAACAGATTAAAATAGTACAATCTACATCAAAATTTCATAAATGCTTCAAGGGTTTGCTAAAGGTTTTATATTCATTAACTCTTGCACAGCTATAAAGATAATAGACTTTGATAGGTTTATTATTTATTACATCAATGTTTGAAAAATTTATTATAGTTATAGTTGTACAAGAGTTTATGAAAATGGCATATATTTTAAAAAGGCTTATGGCAATTTCAAGTAGAGTTTACAAGGCTGACAAACTCTTCTATATAGTGTATTTTCCGATGCCCTTTTAACAATTTGGGGTGCTGGAGTGTTTGATCAGATCTTCTCTTTGTTTGCATCAACTAATTCAGCTATCCACATATCAGATATTCATTCCTTTTCACACAGAAATAAGGCATTTGATCTTGCATTTTGTACTCAATAAACACAGTGACTGTCGAGTATACTTGAAAGATAAAGAATAGACTATGTCGTTTTTTAATGTTCTTCAACGTCAAAAAAGAAAATCAAATATAATCGTAATAGAGAAGTAAAGTATTGTACATTAGCTAAAGACGCAATGCAAAATATCGTTTTTTTCTCTACTCTCTTATCGGGAATGAATTTCACGTGGTATAATGAACCAAAAAAATGGTCCAGTAATCAAACCACTATTAATGTTCATACCGAAGGGAATACTGACTTTTGGCGCAAGACACACTATGGTTTCGAGCGTGATAATGGTCATTTTTATTATCAATCACTGCCTGGAGATCAATCTTTCACAGCTACCGTTAATATACGAGGAAAATACAATACAATCTACGATCAAGGTGGTCTAATGTTACGTACTGATGAGAAAAATTGGATCAAATGTGGAGTGGAATATGTGGATGGTCAACAATTTGCTAGTGTCGTAGTAACAGTCAATGGATGGTCTGATTGGAGTGTAGTTTTAATCAATGCACCTGAAATTTTAAAGTTACGTGCTAAAAGGGCAAAAGAAGCTGTACATATTGACTTTGCTGAAGGTGAACAAGGAGATTTTAAAATGATGAGATTGGCGTATTTACCAATGACAGACAGATCCAGAGCAATGATGGTTGGAATCATGTGTGCATCTCCCGAAAATACTACACAAGGATTTGATATTAGTTTTGAACACCTAAAGATTGAGGTTGAGCCCAATACAAATGGATGTTTACGTACCAGTTGTTGCTACATTTTTCTTTTATTCTTCATTTCATTTTATTTTAAAAGTTCATTGTTTACAACAGAGGCATGCGACATATAAATCCAAAAGTTGCATTTTTGTATTCTAGCATTTTCCTGTTCACTTAACTACAAAAGGCTACCATTTACTTGATCATTAAAATACATTTAACAACTATTATTTCAAACGATTATAAAATCAGTGAAATGAATGAATTGGCAGAAGAATAATTGAACAGTCAGTTATAAATTGATCAGGTTTTTTGATACATTTCAAGATCTATAAATTACTTAAAAGATCAGCTATTAATGAATAATGCTCGTTGTTACGACTCAATTGACATTCGATTGAGCATTCAACTCTTGCTGCACAATTTACCGCTTTACAAGTCCAATCGATACTAACATAAAAAATACGCATGTCATTGTGTGGATACTTGAGTCTGAGTTTAGATATCGATCTGCGTGTTGATGCCGGTGTAGATGTAGATATGTGTGTCCTTGTGGTTTGACTTCCAGCGTCAGAAAGCTTAATTGAATGAAAAGTAGATAGCGAAAAAGTTTTACTGTACGAGAGCTAGGAAGAGAAAACATCTGATTGAATGGCACGCCATCCACATAATCAACATGATTAGCTGAATTGACAGTATGAAAAAGTATCATTTCAAACAGCTGCTTAAAGTCCCTACAAATATATGTGCAAACCGATATAGTATACATGCACTTAAACATGATAACTAAAAGCTATTCTCTATATTTATATATGATCTGAGTCAATGTAAGCGATTATTGCAGTATCTGGGCACCTTCGTCTTACTGGTTGCTGATCATTATTAGCTATTAGATTGGTATTTGACCAACAGAACCCTTAACGAACGCTTCTGACAAATATATAAACAGTTGAAAGTATACCTGTTCGTTCATTCATTCATTATTTTCAAATCTTAGTCTTGTTCCTTGGATAGGTAGTAATATTAATGTTAGAGAATACACATCAGTTGTGAAACTCATGATAATCCTTCTTATTCATTTAGTTTACTGATTCTAAGTATGCTCATTCAGGTTCTGTTATTCATTTTACTACAAATTCGTCAACTTGTCGTTTTAGCAGTTGTTTACATTATTTTGGTCATATTCATGGTAATAGTTTATATATGGTTTGATTAAATTAAACTGTATCTTATAATCTCACTGTGAGAACAATATTTTATTAACAAATTCGCGGCGATATCAGTATTGTTTTCTCAGAAATTGTGAAGAGTTCTACTGCCTTATTGAAGGTAATATTTCTTTTATGAATGTGAGCCACGAACATTTCTTTATCAGTGTTAAAAGAATAAGTCTCTCAGGTCAAAGTATTGTGAAGATATTCAATTTTTTCTGAGGTAAAGAATGTTTTGGTCACTTTATAGTATGACTCCTTGGTTGGTCACATTGCCTTGAATGTGTTGAACAATACTTTGATAATGGTCAAAATAATAGACTGAAATATTAGTCTTCTTCATAAATAAAAATTATTCTTTCTTTTCTGTTGCACTTTCTTATATATACTATACCTAATAGTATAACATTCAGAAGCAATATAAACATATTGAGAAATGATTTGAGATAGCAATGAAATTTTGGCATGTTACACCACGCAAATACGATTGATTATTACTTAACGAGATCTAATTCTACTTTTTTCAAATTTGTATTGAATGTAGCCTAATGATTATTTATATTGTACCAGCAACTATGTCTGGAGTTCATTGATATTTCGTTTGATGTTCATTATATAATTAATAGCTTACTTATTTACTATCAATAACTAGTATGACTGTTATTTTAACATTAATGTCTTCGCATAATTGAAATATAAAGAAACAGAATAGATACATTCGAAGACATTTCACTATTTTATATGTAATAAGCAAAATAAGGCTAAATATTTATCCAATTATAATGTTTAGAAAAACAAAGAAAAGAAATAGAACAGCCTACTAAGTAAAATGGCGTAACGATGAATTTGTTCAAAAAAGGATAAGAAAAACATGACAAACGCATAGGTTAATTACTGATGCAAACAGACGGGAGCCTTAATCTCACCTATAGATGTTCGTATGCTGTGTAAAAAGTTTTCAAACTGGTACGAATACAAATATGAAATTTTCTAATTAGAGTCCAACATAGAAATCGTTGACTACTATTGGATTGTTTTTTATTATGTTATTGTATTTGATGGAGATGTAAACGTATGAGTCAAAATCGACCAATGTAAAGAAAACTAAAGACTGTTCTATTATTGATATCTTTACATTTATATGATATTTTCCATCAAGTTTCTTTCTTCATGTAGATCGAATCGTCTCTTACCATATATTATATGAAAATAATGTTAAAATGTATCTATTGTCTAGTTGATGTCATCAGCACTTCTATTCGGTTCCATATATTAATCTTATAAACATTATGCTAATAATTTTTTAAATAGAATTGTTAAGCCAATTGGAAAATCTAAATAGCACAATCTTATAATCGATGCATAATTAAAATGACTGTAAAAACTTCAAATTCCTCCTGATATAGACTTGAAAATGATTTATGTTTATTCAATTAATTTGATGAAATTCTTCTTATCAATAAATTTTATATTTCTATCATTTATCTTCGTTTCAAACACAAATATCTTTGTTTAGTTATAATTTATCAAATATTGGAATATATTCTAATTACTGTAAAATTAGTTTTTGGAATCTGTAGAGATTATTCTTGTTTAGTTAGTTTAGATATTTTTTCATATAAAAAAGACAATCTTCATCAGGATAACCAAGATCTGGTTTGCCCTCATTTTAATTTGAAATTTTCTTTTTCTATTAGCACTAAATCATTGTTTGTTTTTCCGTTTGTATTAGAAAATATTGGCTTGTATTTATTTGAGCAATAAAAAATATAGAATGAGCAATAATAAAAACATGATTTAGCAATAATTTTTGAGCAATAAAAAATGTTTAGTTGAGCAATATTATAATATAAAATGAGCAATATTATGATATTAAATGAGCAATATTTTGACATTAAATGAGCAATAAATAATTTATTATATAACAATATTAATTTCATATTTGAGCAACAAAAAAAGATAGAAGCGAATTATTTTTATTTATAATTTACAAGAAACAAAAAGGAAAAATGGGTGTGGGTGTGGGTGTGGGTGTGGGAGGGTGTGGGTGTGGGTGTGGGTGTGGGAGGGTGTGGGTGTGGGAGGGTGTGGGTGTGGGAGGGTGTGGGTGTGGGGTAGACATCGGCGTGATCAACATTTTTTGGTCACGGTCACGTCACGGTCACGATCAGTTTGGTCACGGTTACGGTCACGACCGTTGCCATCGTGACCGTGACCGTGAGTCACGGTAGCCATGCCAGTCTCTATACGAACGACTATTTTCTTTTTTCTCAAAACAGCATACCCTTCTCTTCCGATAGGAGGTCCCTATATTAGAAGGCTTTCCATAATAGAAGACCCCCTTGGAGAAATACGTGCGAGACTTAGTATAAGACTTTATTCAATTATCAAATTTTTCGAAAAATGACAACTTCAACCACTGGATTTACATCATAATATGCTTAGCTTTCAGAGTTTTCAGCTACAAAATTTAACTAAGTGTTTTCAACATTTTATCTAGGCTTTTAAAATCCGAAAAATTCCTTCTCAAAGCATCAAAATCGCTTTGGCTTTCTGAACAATTTTTTTAGTTGCAATCTGTAGAAAGAAAAGAGACATTACCCAAGACCCTCTGGAAAACTTTTGGGATTAGACACAATAGAAAACCTCGGATCTCCTCGTGCGGAGAGGCAAAAGGTAATATAACAGATAAACGAAAAAGATTAGGTATGAAAAGAATTGATGAATTTGTTTTTGAGAAAATTTCTTAAAGTTCTTGAAAGTGTATTTGGCCAAAACCTGAATAGAAATGGGTGAAATCAGAACAAGTAGAGAAATGATCAATCGTCGAATCAGTCATCAGATAAGAGTCAAAAAAATCGAAAATATATGAAAATGACAAATCTTGTTCAAGAAGGTCATAATATTTTTTAATGGTACACTTTTTTCTAAAATATTTCTATGCGAACAGTTTAAAATATATTAATACTGAGTACATTTTTTCTGGTATCGCGATTGTATTGATTCTATTCCTTCGTTTTAAATTAGCATAATTAGAAAAGGATATTGATACATATTGAAAGAATACTAAGTATAATATTTAATTCTCTAATAAAGTTTGAAAATAACTGCTTTATAGTTACATTGAAAATTTATCGTGACTGGTCGTGACCAGGTTTTGGTCACGGTCACGTCACGGTCACGACTTTTTTTCGAAAAATGGTCACGATCTTGACTCACGACCGTGACCGTGACCGTGACTCACGGCAGTCACGGCGGTCACGCCGATGTCTAGTGTGGGGTGTGGATGTGAGTGGGTGTGGGTGTGGGTGGGGTGTGGGTGTGGGGTGTGGTGCGGGTGTGGGTGTGTGGGTGTGGGTGTAGGTGTGGGTTTATTGTAGTTTAACATCCACACCCACACCCACACCCAAGAATCAGAAAATAGTGTGCTATGAGTTGTGCTTGAGTCATGTATAAAAGTTATATATAAATTTCATGAGGATAAGAAAACGTTTATTGTTGTAAAAAAACGAGTTAGTATTGCCCTTTTATATACATTTTACGCTTCATTTTAATTAATTATTGCTCATTTCATGGAATTATTGCTCATTCCATCTAATTATTGCTCATTCAATATATATATTGCTTATTCAATATATATATTGCTCATTCTATATATATATTGCTCATTCTATATATTTATCGCTAAATTTGATTATTGCTCATTCTGTATTTTTTATTGCTCAATTAAATATAAGTCGAAAATATTTCCATTCAAATATGAAAATGTTCATTTATTTTTCTATAATAAATCATCATATAAAATAAATAATACTCACGAAATATTTTTTATTACTGTGTATTGTTGTTTAAGCAGTTTTTCAGTTTGTGATAAATTTTTAAACTCAATTATTATATAAAAATATGAAATACTTGTTTTGACTTTATTAAATGAATTAATGAAAATGTACTATTTCGGTAACTATGAGTAATGAGCAGATGATAGGATAAGATTGCTTACTCGATAAAATAACAAAATTAGTCATGATTATATCATGACTATTTTTATATTCTATCTACGTAAAATATATTTACTCATTGAAGTCAAGAACAAAAGAAACCGAACTTTACGTTCAAAATAAAATCGTTTGACTCATATATGTAAATATATATTTTAAATCAATAGAAATAATGGGAAAAAATTTCCAGGCATGTCTCATGTTTATACAGCTTCACCTATTCAATATGTAGTTTTTTATTACGGTTGAGAAATGTTTTATTATTCATCTTTGCCATATTATTACAACAACAAGATTGTATATAAAGAGATGCAATGAAATCAGTTTTTATTCATTGTTCAAAAAAAGATAAATATTCCTTAGTATTCTACACATATAATAATATATTAAATATGTATGGTGGCAATCCTAATATGATTTCAGAACTGGCATCTGATATGTAGATTGAACGAAATATTCCTGGCGGATTAAACAGTAAGTATCGTAAAATTCTGTTGCTAATCTTATTAGAATATGTTTCATTTCTCACTTTTATTATATATTTATATATGTATACTGTGGCTATCAAAATCTATTCAACAAAACTTATTTTCAAAATTTCCCGCTGTCCTAATTCTAAAAAAGAATTTCAATAGTGATCCACATGAAGTAAAACATACATAACAAGAGTATATGAAAATAAAATGATTATCAGATTCCAAAAGACCGAATTCTCTCAGAAAGCCGAATCAATAGTTGTTCAGAATGTCGTATGAAGAAATAAAATTTTGTGCAAACTTCACGAAATGATATAGGAAAAAATTCTTTACATAAAATGAGATGTTTTCGATTTTCCTACGATCATATTTTTCTGACATATAGTAATCGTACAAAAGTTTATGAAAACATTTTTCTACTATTATTTGGTCAGAAACTCAATTAGATATTTTCAATCAGGTTGCTGCATGTCAGTAGAAAAAGCGGTTGTACAGAACTCAAAAATGTCCTACTTTATAGAGGACTATTTCTTCTATGGTGGTGCATAGTCAGAAAAGCAAATAATTTTCTACCTTCTAGGAACTGAAAAACTCGTAGTTCGGTTTAGTTCTGGCAACAGTACTTTTAGAATTTGGTAATCATTTTATTTTCAAAATTCAAAAATAAGCCATGTTGAATAATTTTGGTAGCCATTGCATATATAAACACTTTTGATTAATCTCTATAGTAATTGTTTTCTATTCGAAAAAATAATAGTAAATCATCAAAAATATCAATTGAAAACACAAATATTCATTAATGACTTCTTTTCGTGTAGGTCCATTGGGAGAATATCTTGATAATGTAATGAGCGGAAATCCAAACCCAACCATTGGTCAAATGCTTGGAGGTTATCCTGGAGTTGATGGATTCGGAGGTGCTCATGCAATTGGGGGTGGTCATGTAATTGGAGGTGGTCATGGGTTCGAAGGAAGTCATGGAATGAGGGGTGGTCATGGATTTGAGGGAAGTCATGCGATCAGGGGTGGCCATGGAATCGGAGGTGGTCATGGATTTGAAGGAAGTCATGAGATCGGGGGTGGTCATGGAATCGGAGGTGGTCATGGATTCGAGAGTGGTCATGGAGTCGAGAGTTGTCACGGAATCGGGGGTGGTCATGGAATCGGGGGTGGTCATGCATTCGGAGGTGGTCATGGATTTGGTGGATTTGGTCATCGCCATGAATCTAATCATTTTACACGTTTTTCCCATTATGGGAGCACGTATGGTTATTCGATACCATAATCAATAATTACACCAATTACAGTTTTTTTTTCAAAATAAAAATATATAACTATAAATACTATTCAATAATTTCATGCTAGAAAGAAAGTTTTCGTTCATTTGCAATGAGTTTGTTTAACTATTGAAAATAAAGTATAATGATCAGAATACATTCTTCTGTCTCCTGCACTTTTATCCTGGTTTGTTTGTTTATCGTGAGATGTAATATGCATTTGAAAAAAATTCATTTTATATTTATGATCATAAGCAAATCAAATTTTTCCTTCACAACATCAGCACATAGTTTCGATATCAGTGATCAAAATAAATTATTGATATTGAAATAAACTGAAATATCAACTGTTGATAATATCACAAAATAGGTTTTTGCACAAAGAACTCCAAACACGAGAATAAAAATTTCTTCTTTCTCTTTTTAATATTCATTTGAAATTGAAAGCAGAATGGCCGTTCTTTGAAAAAAGTATTCAACAGAAATCGCCATCAATCCGCAGTTTGTACAATTAGAAAAAGTCAAAAAATTTGCATGTTTCTATATAATACTGAATAACTCTACCAGTTCACAAATCTGATTATCAGTAAGTGAAAATATACACTTAAAACGCTGTGAAAAACGTATGAAATTCCATTTATGAGTAATACATTAGATTCGTCGATCCAGATGGATAACTCTATATCAGCCCGAAATCTTTATGTTTTTTAATGTACTGAACGAGGTCTTTAATTTTTCATTGTAGTTATTTAAATCTGTTTTCCGTTCAATGATATCTGTGACGGAGCAGAAATAATATTTTTTCGAATTAATCTTGTAGAAACATATTTGATCAATGACATCAGTATCTTCGGTACTTTTCCTATTCGGATGCTTCATGAAAAAAATTAGGAAATATAGTGCTTTCGACTTTGCTGGTTTCTATTTGACAGAAACTCTTTTAAATAACTTTTAAGCCGATGAGCAATATGATAAATAACAATAAGTTTCTTCTAAAGCTTTTCGGATTATTGTTTTCTTTTATTTTAGTCTGTAAGCATAATACCAACAAACATGTTGCATTGAATCTTTCATCCATAACAGGATCTGTTTCAAAAAAACAGGTCATGCAATTTATAACCTCTTCATTTTTTTGATTCGATAGCGTAAATCTAATAACTTTCAAACTGTCGTAGGTTCATTGACTACATCTTATCATCGCATCAACTTAAATAATAATCATGCTGGGTTTTCTTCTCAACATGATGCGCAGTTCTTGAACAAACTTTTTGTATTGCCAACGTATTGTCATTAAACGATAACTCAGTTGAAATAGAAACCAGGAAATTCGTGGATTGTGCAGAAAAAGATTCATTCTATGGATCCGGCGATGTCTGTTCAAAATCATTCATTGTTCTGGAATAAATACTAAATCTTTCTAACATATTCAATAGCTTTCCGTAAAATATACTTAATGAACAAAAAGAAAGCTTTAAAATAAATGAAACATATTCAATAATAAACAATGAGCATATACATACATAAATAAAATAAGATTACAAAAAGAAATAGATCATTCATTCATGAGTGTAGTAACATAATCATATTTTAACCCAATCAGACAAGTGTTCGCCATTACAGGTACGAGTAACCTTTGATTGTAATTACAGATGCATAGTTTAGTAAGTTTTTCTTGACAAGTGGGTGTATCGATCTGGTATTCATGCACATCCACACTCACACTCCCAGCGATTAGATAAGAACATTTGTTAATAATCAAAAACTTCAAATTAATTGACTCATCCAAGTAGATGTTGTTATTCTCTTTTTAGACTAGATGATTTCTTATTTGTAGTCAACTAATAACTTTCAAACTTTATTGCTCTTCATATAACAACAAAAAACTGTAAAAGAAAAATTCAATGTAAAAAGTTTTAAGGAAATTTTTTGTCTTTTAACAAATTGGAATAAGTGTTTTATTCATCCATGTTCTTCTTGCGCATTTTTCATGATGTTTTATACAAGGTATAATTCTCATTGTTTGAAAAAATGGAAGTTTACTTCTTAATCGATCAAATTTCGGAATCATTTGATTACTTGATAATTGACAATAATAATCAATTGAACAAATAAATTCTCTTAATTCTACAAAGTTTCCAATAAGAATATTTTGTAGATGAGCATAATCTCGAATTTTCAATAAGTTATCAAGAAGTAAGGTACATCGTTGAACATAAGGTACGAATGACACAAGAAAATTAACAATATTTAATTGAGAAACTTTTTGTGAAAATTCAATTTTTAATATTCGTAATTTTTCATGATAATAATTTGTTAAATTATGAGATGATGTTGATAAAACATCTGAAATACGAATTTCTAATTGATAAAGATTAGGTAATAATGAAAGAAGTATAACAAAATCTTTTGTTGTACAATTTGTTATTAATAATGTTCGAATATTTTTACAAGTTTTAAGTGGATACATATTATCATATAAATTAATATCAAATAAATTACAAAAATAAAGTTTGGAAAATTGTTCATATCCAAAAAGAATATTAAAAATAATTTTTTGATCTTTTTGATTAATTATTCCAAGCCATAAACGAGAAAGATTAGGCATTAAATGAGAATTTATTGATAATAATTGATTTTTAGTTGGAAGATAAATTGTTAATGAACGAAGATTTGAAAAATATTTTAAATCTAATAATGGATTATAATTAATATGAATATATATGATTTGTTTAGAAAAATAATAAAGAGCATTTAGTAAAGATTTATTTATATCTTCATTTTGATGAAGATAAACACCAAGATGAACATAACGTAAAAGAAAATTTAATCGAAAATTAAGATTAACAAAACCATTAAATAAATCCATTAAGAATATATATTGAAAAATTTCAATAATTAGTTCATCAGGCATTAATTCAAATCGACTTAGTTTAAAAAAGTTTTTTCTTGGTAATTGAATCATTGGTTTCATATTATTCCTCGGAGGATTTCGTCGATGAATGCAACTCGTTAATTTACTGAAAAAATGAGGCATATTGATTATCTAAAATCAACATTATTTTATTATAAATAAATAAACTTAATTAACTAATTTAAAACTTATTCAAATAGTAATAGAAAAAGTTTTTCAGCAAAACTTTAAGACAATTCAATATTTGAGCGATTTTTTTTGGCAAAGACGAATAAAAAAACAAAATTTAGATTTTTCTTCTATGAAAATGAAATCCAGAATGAATTCGAATGAAAACTCAAGAAGTAGTTTTATAATTATTCTGCATGAACTTTTTTTTCACTACGTATTCATCTCTTCTCGATTAGTATTAAAAATAGTTCCTTGTCATTTCCATAAGGATATAGTTATATGTTCAAATCAACGAATACAAAGTCTATATACAACTGTATTTTACATATTATATAGTTTAGTATTATGATTGTACATCTCCGTAATAATTTATAGAACAATATGGTTATTTATGGAGAAAAATTCCAGATAAATGATTGCAGAAGCCGACACAACAAAGAAAACGATTTTGTATTGTGTCATATTATACAGTCGATAGTGATAGATAGCTGAAAAATTGATGTTGGGAACGTGCAATATTAAGATTGTATTTTATCTTGCTGTATACCGTTTATAACGTTTGTCAAGTGGTTTGAAAATTGAGTATCTAACCATTTACAATACAATGAAATACGGTCGTTATATTGCGCCTACTCCACGCTGTGGGAGCCAACCAAAACGGTCGCTAATGATTGTGCTTAAGCAATGTGGAAACGACACATGGAAACTGCATACCGATAGAGTAAGCAAGCGTTTTTTTTTCTTTTTAAGTCACTGTATGTCTCTGTATACAGTCGTTTACGAACATGCTTGTTTTGAGCTGAATTAAATAAAAATATGATGAAGAGATAGTAGCCAAACTAACCATTCGAAACTGATTAGTACTTATTCTTAACTTAAAAGATCAAAGCTATCATCTGAAAAAACTCACTTTCCGTATCTTGTTTCATCATATTTGAAGGATATATCTAAAGTCCTCTTCCTTCAAGGTTAATTTAACCTATAGAAAAAAAACATGTTGAACACAAATCAAAAGAAAAACTTTAATTAACTATCGACTAACAAAAAGATAACAACATAAATTCAAATAATATTACCATATGAATCAAAATAAATGTTTCTAATTTTTTTTAAAATGAGACAATTGATTTAATAAACATGTCTTGTTTATATCATGTGATATGCATGTTGTCTTTCATATGCTTTTTTTTTCTTTATTTTTTTTTATCTATTCTCTATTGATATATAATTGTTTCACTATCCCCCCCATGATATCTTCCTTATTGTTGACATACTTTCATGTAGTTTAGCATAAGAAATCAAATTAATATATCAATGTCTGTCTATTTCACAAAATATTTTACATATTTTTATCCTCCAACTGAAACTATGTAATCATATATCAACGTGCAGATATTTAGAATTATAACTGGAATGTCTCGTCTTCGTGTTGAGAATAAACAATATAATAAATTTTGTTTTTTTAGTAGATATGAGTTGTTTTTTTTTTTTATTTTAGTTTATAAAAGAATGTAACTATTCTTATAAATAAATTTTATATGGATCGTTTTTCAAGTTTAACATAAACATGTTCAGGTGCAACAACAAACTGCTCAGTTATATTTAATTTTTGTTCAATATCATCCGTTGGAAGAATACGATATTCATTGATCAATCGAACCAAACATAATTTAATTTCCACTTGAATATAAAAAGAATAAAAAATTCTTCGAAATGATTAATGCATAAAACTAAAAACTTACAAAAGGCAAATCTCATTCCAAGACATGTTCTTGGTCCACCACCAAATGGCATAAAAGCAAGCGAATTTCGTTTACGAGTATGACGTTCAGGACAAAATTCATGAACAGGTTCAGGTCCCCAATATTCACTATCATAATGAATAGAAAGAACATCAACTTGAATTAATGTACCTATTTTAAATAAAACTCAAATAATTATTTCTATTTAAATAAATAAATAAATAAACCTTTTTTGATATAATATTTATCAATATAAGTATCTTCCATACATTGACGATGAACAGGTTGAATAGCAATTGGATGCATACGTAATACTTCATGAACAAACATATCCAAATAAATTAATTTATTGACTAGTATTTCATAAGAATTAATATCTGATGAATTATATTTGACTATTTCTTGATAAAGTTTTTCTTGTATATTTTGATGAATTGCTAAACGATAAGTACAATAACCTAATGCTGTTGATGTTGTTTCAAAACCAGCTGCTAACATTAAATATGCATTACTTAATAATTCATATGAAGATAATTTATTCTATTTAAAAAAAACAATAACATTTTATGTCTAAAAAGCCTTAAATTCATAATTTTTCTTTAGTTTGAAATATATTTTTTCTCTTTTTCTTTGCACATTCGAAAGATTTTTCTAATCTCAAATTATCGTTGTTTGCTTCAATACTATTTGACTTGCAATTGAAAAAAAAATAATTCAAGTAAAATATGACAGAAAGATATATTCTTTTCAGAGCTCAGACGAAATCATTTGTATTTACACTCTTCGTACTTTTTTCGAGTAAAAGTAAAGATTCAAGTATGAATCAGGTGTATTTGGTACTTATAGTTATACTTCAAAAAGAATACTTTTGTGCTTATGCTTAAATTTGGAAAACAAAGTTTTGTACTTTTTATTTGATGTACAGATAAAATAAATATGATTGATAAAATTGAATGGCTGTGATAGGTTTTAAAAAGTGTTTTATTGTATGTCTCTTGAAAAAAATATTCTGTCTTCATTGTTTAAAATGACGATGTACATCCAAAAGTAGTGATAGTTATTTCACTTATTAGATTAAAGTTTTCATTAAAATATTTCTATTATCATGCTTTGTTAATCAGAAGATATTACAATGATTTTTAAAAGCTTATCAATGTTAGTCAATCTTATTGACGAAATTTATTTTATCTATATATCAAGTAAAAAAATACGCAGTTCTGTTTTATGTACTTATATATAAGTACAAAAATATTCATCTTTAAGTACAAGTATAAATACTAAGTGCAATGCTCATACTTCTACAAATATTTTTTCGAAAATCTAGTTAATTTTCGAAGTAAGTAAGCATCTAAAAATCCATTTTTCTGTCATTGACATCATTTTTCTTTTAGCGAAAAAAGTGTTTTTTTCTAGTAACAATTTCATTTTCCGACGTTTAGTTACTAATGATTTCTACGTAAAAATATTAGAAAAATTTCAAAAATCGCTGATTTCCTGGGTGAATATTAGCAAAAAAAACCAGCTCACAATAGAAATTCATGCAATGTCTTTTTTAAAATAATTTGTCTTTCAAGATTTTGATTAATATAAAGCTGAAAAAGAAAATATGTCTGTTTTATTCTAAATACTATTCAAATTTCTATGATTTATTTTTATTGCTAAGTTTAATCTTAATAAACTGACTGTATCTGATTGAACAGCATCAATCATTAATTGAAGAAGATCATTTGTTGATTCTTGATAATTAGTTTGAACAAATCTTTGTTGAATAAATTGATCCATATGATTAATAAGCCAAAAATTAGCTGGAAATGAAGATTTTTCATATTTAAAAATATGTTGAAGACGAAATAGAATTGAACATATATTGGCTAAGAAAGAAAAAGGCATAATACGATGTATTCGTGCTAAAAATGAACGTTCAAAATCTTTTTCTAAAACTTCTTGAACTTTTTTCATATAAATATTTTTATTATCAATATCATATTGTATTTTTGTATCGATACCAAATGCACATCGACCTTAGATAAATGAGAAAAAGAAAATAATATATCATAATAGATTTCTTTTTTTTAGTTTCTTACAAATAATATCCATTGTTAATCGTTTATAAAAATCTAGAATATTAATAATTTTTTCATTGTTTTTCAATGATAATTTTTCTATAAAAACATCAATAGATGAATCCATAATTGGTATTATTCGTTTCATTTTTGATATACTAAATGCTGGATTTAATATAGTTCTTTGTCTTTTCCATTGATCATTTGAATTAGTTGCAAAAACATGAAGACGTTCTTGACCTAATATTCGATTTGATAATTGTGTACGTCGACCATAAAAACGATGAAATTGTGTTACAAATATTTCTTGAATAATTTTAACATCAGATATAACATAAACAGGATGAATACCTTCAAATATTCCATAAATCGAACCATATTTATGTGTCCATTTATGAAGTTGTTCAGAATATGAATGAGCTGACCATAAATCAGATAAATGACCAAATATTATTGATGGAATAGGTGGACTAGGTATCGAACGATTAGCAAAATAACAAAAACGATTATAGATTAAATAACTAATGAGAAATACAACAATACACAAAAGAATAAATGATAACATCAACATTTCTTTTTTTGTTTGTTGAGTGTATAATGCTTACGATGTATATCTAAAGAATAAACTTTCGTTATTATTTGTCGTCGATTTATACACCTACCGCACCTGTCCAATGATCGAAAAGCATGAACAGGTTACCATGATAAGGTAAAGCAAAAATAAAAATGACTGACATCGACCGATAGACATTAAAAGATTTCTTAAGAAAAAAGAGATTATGAATATCGAATTAACACCTTTTCACTATTAGTTTGCGAAATTTGACACAACATTGTAAACACCAATATAAAGATATTCAAAGATGTTATATGATAATCTTTCAATGGCATATATTATATTTCTATTGAATAAACAAAATAAGTCATATGAAAAATAGATTCTTTTTTTTTGAATTTTTAAGCAAGAAGAAACAAATTTTTTAAGAAAATTAATTGAAAAAAACACATCAAAATTACATAAATATCTTATCGACTGATAATCAACATTCTTAAACCTGTTTTATTTAATAATACGTTATCTATATGCAATAATAAGACATTTTAAAGTTTCTTAAGGACATCAAACACTTATCTTGTGGTCTACTTCAAAAAGTCACATTTATTGGTTTATCTCTTTTTCAGTGTTGTTGAACTCTAGTCAGTAATGATTGTAGTTATTGAATAAAGATAAAAAAGAATAATATTTATGTGTAAATACCTATTTCATTAGGTCAAATCAAAAAAGAAATAATGACAATGGTTAGACGACAGTGTCATCTACATAAATGTTCTGATATGTTCTTTTCTCAATCCAAATATATTTAATTCTGTTGGTTGTTTGTTTATTTATTAAATTTTCATAATTTCTATATTGTATTTGACAAAAAAAATGAATAAAGAGACTATCCGAAATTTAAATTTTTATTGTATTTATACACGAAATCATACTGAAAGTGGAACACTACAAGGTGTTATTGATGATTTACCACGGTGAGTTTTTTTTAATATTTTTAATGTTTTATTAAGAAAAAAATGTATTTATTCGAATAGAATTGCTCGATTGGGAATAGATTTTATTTGGCTTCTTCCAATAAATCCAATTGGATTGACAAATCGCAAAGGTACACTTGGTTCTCCATATTCAATAAATAATTTTCGTGAAATAAATCCTGAACATGGAAATCTCGATGATTTTCGACATCTTGTTTCTGAAGTTCATCGTCAAGGAATGCGTTTAATGCTTGATATTGTCTTTCGACATACTAGTCGTGATTGTCCTTGGGTTAAACAACATCCTGAATGGTACTTAAAAGATGATAAAGTTTGTCAAATCAATCCGTTGATGTGTTTTTTTCTTATTATATTGCATTAACTTGTTATAGGGTAATCCTATAGCTATTGTTCCTGAATGGACAGATATATTAGATTTAAAATTTGATGGAAATGAAACAACATTATGGATTGAATTAATTGATATATTAAAATATTGGTGTCAATTAGGTGTTGATGGATTTCGAATGGATGTTGCATCAAGTGTAACAATGAAATTCTGGTTTGTAACTTTAATCGAATAAATATGAAACAATTTTATATATTTATGTTAATAGGCGTCAAGCTCGGTATGAAATATCAAGTTCATATCCAAACTGTGTTTGGTTAGCTGAATCTACTCGATTACCTTATATTGAAAGACATCGTGCAAAACATGAAATAGTTAATACTGATTCATCACTATATGAAGCATTTGATATCTGTTATGATTATGATGTATATGGAGCATGGCGTGCAGCAATAGCAGGAGCCATTCCAATAAAATCTTATCTTGAAATGATTCGATTGCAAACTACAATTTATCCGAGTGATTTTATTAAATTAAGATTTGTTGAAAATCATGATCAACACCGAGTTGCATATATTTTTCGAGATAATCGATTAAAAGCACTTGCTTGGACAGGTTAATTGAAATATCTCGAAATTTTTTTTTTAATCATTTATTTTATTTTTTGTTGTAGCATTTAATGCATTTAATAAAGGTTGTTTTTTGGTTCATGCAGGTCAAGAAACTGAACAAACAAAAACATCATCATTATTTGAAAAGGATTGGATTGATTGCAAAAATATTTATCCATTAGAAGATTTTATACGTCAATTAATTCAAATTAAAAAAAATTCAATTATACAATCAAATGATGCAAAGTAAAATACTATTTTATGTTTACCAAAAAAAAAAAACTGAGCAATTTCTTCTATTTTATTTTTATTAATTAGTTTGACAATAACTCATCACAGTCCATGTATTGTTGCCGTATGGCAAACAGAATCAGATCGACAAGGTCTTATAGGTGTTTTTAACGTTTTACAAAGCAATACAGATAACAACTATATTCAATTTGATAATTTACCTGATGGAAAATATCAAAATTTATTGTCTAATAAAGAAATATCTCCATGTGAATCTTCAATAGTAACAGTGTCGGATAATGGAAAAATTCCTGTTCCATCGGTGGCAGTTGTTCTTCATTATTCCGGTTTTCTTCTTCAACCAAAAATGTTTTATAGTGAATTGTTCGATTTTGATTACAAAGGAATGTAATCATTTTTAATCATGTAATTAATTTAGTCAAGCAGGGAATTTTTTAGTCAAACATAGAACATATTTTCAAAATATGTAATAATAAAAAAAAAATTGAGAAATTTTTTTTTTCTTTATACAAGCTTTTATTATTGTAGAAATAAAATAAAGTATTCAGAACAATATGAAATAATCAGTCTATCATATTTTTAAGCAATCCAAAAACAGAATCATCATCGATTTTTAAGTAAACCTAATGTAGAAACAAGTCACATCTTATCACAAATGTGATATATCAAAATTTCTCTTCAGAATCTCTTTCACTGTTTCAATCGGCATTTTTACTGACGAATTGATATTAATGATAAGTTTTAATATAAACCAATATATAAATATGTCAGTGTTCAATCTAAGATTCTGTTTGAATCTAGTTCAAACTTGATTTGAGCAAAAATCTAGAGCCAAAACAAAATTTCTATACAGATATCGATGTAGGATTTCCATTTATTTATTTTTTGATGAACTACGATGCTTCCTTTGTACACAGCCGGTTGATAAATGAAAGTTGAGGTTATATAATTATAAAAAATTTTTGTGCAATTTTCATGTTCATATGAAACTATTTAACAGTTGTCTTAGATATGAATGTTGACTTTCATGTTCCGTTACTCAGGAACGGGAGTCGGGGACGTACGATAGTCTCACATGAAAAGATAGACAACGATGAATAAACACTTCAGTCTAAATAAAAGATCATTATAGAAACTAGTTTTTGATGTATTCTCGTTCCTTGCGAACGGAATGTTCAGGAATGACAATTCAAACAATCACTCCTAGTCCTAAATTATTTGAAATAAAGGTTTACTTGGACCACAAGAAAAATAAGTTAAAGGGACTAAGACAATGAGAGTAAGAATTATTCTAACCGGAACTAAAAATTGTAGTTAGTTATTTCATCGTTTCAATTAACACAAAATTTGCGAGAATTGACCAAAAAATAGCATTCATTGACTGTGCGATCAAAAAACTAGTATTCACGAGTTTTTTTTAACTTAATAAGAATGAATTGTAAGATGGTTTTCTCTAAGCGAAAATCATGAGTAAAATTGACGAATCTCTTAGCCTTGATCAAAAATACAAATGCTGAAAAGTAGTGAAATACCAATGTCGAAAGGTAGCAATATTGGCAATGTAAGTGTATGAATGTAAAAAGATCCCTGAAGCACATCTTTACTCTTACATCTGCACCATCATCCTCATTTTGTTTTAGAAATTTCTTACTGTCGACCATAGTTGGAGCTATCAAGCCGGTATCCAAAAAAACTAACATCATTCATATCGGAACCCATGCAAAATGCTACCTCGACTACAAAAAATTGATTCAGGCAAATCTCTAGTTCCATTTCATTCGCTGTATATTCGAGAAATATTGAAAAAACCTTTTCCCTACCATTCACATTCATATTATACAATGTGACAAATGTGGATCCGGATTCGCGTTTGAGTCTGCACCTGGATGCCAATGTGGTTGGAAACAAGTTATACACGCACACTCATAAAAAATTCTAAATCTTCCGAATTTTCGTTGTGGAAATTCCGATTTATAACTTTTTGATCTAGCAATCTGTAAAATCAAACCAACACGGGGTCACTTTTATCTGCTTCTCATCTAACGAAATCATTCCTATGACGATCTTCTATCATATGCTATTCTTAAATACAAATTACATTTGTCCGTATTTCGTTTCATATTTGTTTTTTTTTTTGTTTCAATAAAGAATAATGCACAATCAGGGGATGATACTTTCATTTCTAAGAATATTCATTGTCTAATATCACTTTGAAACAGTTATACTTATTGATTGTCTTTTTTTCTAGTTGGATATTTTAATTCTTTAAATTGATATAGATATAATTATGTTTTATTTACATAATGATAGAAGATAATCATAATAGATTCGTATCTAGGTTAGAAAAAGAATTTTTGAAGTATTGTAGAAATTCAGAATCGTTACCGATATATAAATCATTAACATATAAAGATGTCAATTTCCGACAATTAATCCATGTTTCATATATTCTAAAATTGAACGTCACTCTTTTTGTGTAGATTGATAGTTTACCGTAAGATAAATATTATTATAGATGAAGATATTGAATAATTATAATATTATTCTGGTCATCATTTGCTTTTCGATGCTGTTTATCATATTGTGACTGCTTATTATTTACAGTTAATTTTTTCAATGATAGAAATGAGTTAGAAATTCGAAAAAAACAGAATTCATTTTGAAATGAATGTTCATCAAACAGTGATATTTCACGAATAGATTTAAATAATCCACTTACAAAATGTTCTGTTACTTCACGATAATGTATTACTCTATCCAAATGTGGATACGAATAAATATAATATTGAATCTCTTGGAAATAATCAACACAAGATCTAATTTGATTATATGCTAAATCTTTGAATGTACATTGAATATTATAATTTAATGGTACACTAAATTGATTTAATTGTGATAGATTATGGAGAATATTTTTCTTCAAATCATTTCCATCAATAAATCCTATAGAACAATTAATAATAAGATGTAAATCAAGTTTATTTAGGTTTAATATTCGACGTAGAAGTGGTACAACTAATTGATCATAAAAATCTATATTGTCATCCGCAATAAAACGAAAAACATTGTAAACTAGGTAGTTTGTTCTAGAAAAGAGAACAAATATGATTTTATTTGAATAAATTAAATATTAATGAAGAGAATCAACTTTACTATTAATTGGTAAATTCGGAGAAAAAATGGACTGAGTAACGACATCAAATGAACGAAGTTGATTAAAGCATCCATCAAGTAAATAAAGACAATCGCTGAAAGTTCCCAAATAAACATTCAATTACTAACAGACATTGATGAAGTCACAGTTGAAGGTATTGTAACAAAATCATATTGTTGATAACAAAATGAAGGTGGACTTTAATTCAAATATTTTAGGTTGGGAAACGTAACAAATATTTGTAAAAATATATGTTCATTAGTATATTTGAATGGAATCTGTGCTTCATTTTGAGTAAAATCGATAATAAGTAATGAAATTTCTTTTTTAGTTGCCCAAATTAAAATTGTTTCAGTTGAGTATAAATAAAAATCTTGAATAAAGCATCTAAGCATTTTCAAAATTGATCAAATTAAAGTGGATGAAGGTATGGTAAATTTGATAGGGTCTGTTCAGTCTTCAAACCTTCATTTCTCGTTCTGTATGCATCATTTGTATACTCGGATCTCGTACCTTCTTATTTCGTTTTTCCTTCGTTGTTAAATACCCATGGACTTTAAAAAAAAATCAATCAAAGTTTACGATTTTCAAGAACTTTACATTCCAAGACGGTAAAAAATAAATGAATACGGTTGAAATAACTAATCCGGAAAGTTCATAGTGCCCGTCCGATCTAGTTTAGAACGTCCTCTAGTATCCTTCTAGACTGATTATCATGACAAGAAATGTTCAGAATAGTTCATAACGTCTTTGAATCTCGTCATGTATAGTCCGTTTGTCTATCAAACTGATCTAGATTAGTTCGTAAAATAGAAAAAGAATAAAAAGAAAAACATAAAATGGATTCGAATATCCAACCCGACAGTATTTAGTGTCTTAGAAATATTATGCCGTTAGCTATGAATGTTTCAGAGATTGACGATAACTTACGAAGTTCAAGTAATAAAAAGATGTTCGTTCATTCGCTAGACAATTGAAAACTGATCGAAGACAAGTGATTTGACTAGTCTAAATAGTCTTCTGTACCTTTCATGACTAATCTAAGTATTAAAATGTATCATCATAACTAATTTAAAGTAATATGAAATTTCTGAGAAACTTATTATTCTCAAACTCTAAGTTATGTAATCAATTCGTTTAGACAGATCAACAGTAAAAAAGAAATATAATGCCAATATAATTTGTCAGTATCTCGATCTTTTATTAACAATACATTGTGTTTAGTCAGATGCATTTAGAGTATGAACGACATACAAGAAGAAATATATATTTAGTTAAATATGTTTTACTGAATATTAATCAACATTATAGGTTCCTGTTTTAAAACAGACATTTCGCAATTTTTTCAAACTTTAAGATTCTCATTTTTGAAAATCTATTATTCAAATTTGTCTCTACAAACACATTCAAATTATTATAATCAATACGGAACAGTTATACGACAGAATAAAATCAAGAGGAAACAAACTAGCTTCAATGATTGAAATCACTAAATCATTTTCAAATTGTTCAAATATAGACAATACATGATGATACAATTATTTTATTTACTATTTCAAGATCGAGTTTCTACTAGAAATAATTCAAAAATTATTTTTAATTTATAATTTTTCATGTATATAATTAGGATAGGTAAATGTGGACGAAGGCTAAAAAACTTTTTTTTTTTACAAAAAGGTTATCTTTGTCAAGATTCTAGTTTTATTTTAGAAAATCCGTTGTTCATACAACTTTTCTGAAATAGTTTCTCACGTTGGATAAATCTTCTTAAAGCGCAACGAGCTTGAAACATTGAATTTTTCATGCACTATCTTCAAATTGAAGAGCATCAATTTCGAAGTTTTATTGTTCATTGGAAGCTTTTTAAGAGTATGTATATGTAGATGCTGATTGATTGACAACAAGACATTCACACTTAAACTAAACTCTTTAATTTGGAAAAAACTTAAAGGACAGAAAATACTGTAGCAAGTTTACTTATATTGTTCATGTATAAATTTCATTGATCGAATGAATTAACTTTGATTTGTTCATCATGGTCTGAAATTATATGAAGAGAATCATACAAACAACAAATTGATGAAAAACTATGGCATTATATTTTCTTTTTTTAGCTGCGTCGAATGAAAGCTTCATAATTTTAAGCTAAAATAGGTTTTTTAAATGATTACTGATTATTTATTAATAAGTTTGTATTCTGATAGAAATATGACTTTGATAGACAAGAAATATGAACTGATTTTTTTTTGAATGTAATAGATAATCCAGAAATTAAACTAAACTTCAATATTTAAATATAATTTTATTACCATAAAAAAAAAAAAAAAAAACTTGTGAATCAAATAAAAATGTGTCTTTTAAAAAAAAACATTTTATGGTGATGGTCTTTTCACTTTGAGTTTTTCTAAACGTTCTTCTAATTCTTGAATTCTTTTATCTTTTGTTTTTATAAGATGTTCACATCGTTTTATTTTTCCTCTAAGAACATCTATTTCTTCATCTTTGGCTCTTACAACATCCTCATAAAGATATGGATCAATATGTCTTCCACCTCTAGAAAAACTAGCATAACTAGGTAAGAGTCCCATTCGTCTTGGTGTACGTGGTGTCGTTAATAATTGTGGTAAACGATGACGTTCAACATTAAATGAACGCCATGTTTCCCATTGTAAACGTGATTTTCTTCCAGTACGAATTAAATGTTCTTCAATTTTTTCACGTAAATGAAGAAGAAATAATTCAACAGCACGATGATCTCCATTTGTTATATCATGAACTACAGTACCTGGAGCATGTAAACTTAATTTTGGTAAAACATCAGAATTTAATATACGCCAATTTTTAGTACGTTGAGACATATTTCGAGCAATAATAAACATATCCAAATCAACATATTCAGGAAAAAAATAAGCTATTATTTCAGCTACTAATATTCCATCAGAAAAATCTGTATCTAAATGACGTACTGGACGAGATAATGGAATTGTATCAAGCCATGCTAATATATCATAATAAGCTGTTGTTTGATAATGAGATAAAGCTTTGTGTCCATTCATTATGTCAATACTTGCATCAGACATATCAAATTAAAGACGACGTTCGGTCAATGAAATAGACGAACTATTAAACAATACTAAAATTATTTTTCAATCAATTTAAATTTCATTTATCTTTTCTTTTTGTAAAAATTAAATTAAAAAAAAAGACTATAAAATTTTACTTAAAAAAAAAAACTACTCACATCGTCTATAAAGACATTCTGACTGACAGAGAAAGTGTTGTTTTGAATATGTATTATTTAAGTCCAAAAATAAAAGAAAGTTTAATCAATCAAAACAGAAGAAGAAAAGATTAATGGCAAATTGTTTTTCTTTGTCAATAAACCAAATCTCACTTTGTTTGTGTATTTAACAAAGAATAAACAATAACACTCAATTGAAACAATATCAATATGATCTTTTTATATTTTCATTGTAGTTTTTTTTTTCGTTCGTAAAATTATCTATCTAATAGAAAAGATTTTTGTTTTGTCTCTCAAAAAAATAAAAAATAAAAACCTCGTATATCTATCTATATCAATATAAACGATTGATAAATTTCGACAAGGAAAAATAAGCGTGTCTGACTCTATTTTGTTTGATTTTAAAAAGAAATGAATGATTTTTTTTTTCTTTTTCGTTTTTAAAAGCACTCTAGAAATTGTTAACTTACCACTGTTTGATTAATTCAACAATGTTGTACTGCATCACAATGTATTGTCTTTTTTTCTCAACAAAATAAAGTGTCGGTCGCTGTTATTTATTATTTGATCAAATAGAAGGGACAGAAAAAAGAAGTAACGATGATTTTTTTTTTCTTCCGTAGCAACAATTCATAAAAGAAAAAAAAAACAGTATGAGAGAATATGCACGACACAATAAGACATTTACACGATCTTTAACGAATAAAAATATAAACATTCAGTTCAATACGCATTGTCAATTATTGATTGATTATTTAAATAAGTTTTAGTTGAACATCAGTTCGTATTTTATTTTTTTTTCGTATAGAACAAGACGAAGAGCAACATGCTATTCTCTTATTCTGCAATATCAATGTCAAATATATTAAATCTTAAAAGAAATTTTGTTCATCAGAGTGTCATACTCGATCTGTTTAAATACTAAGATTTTTTTGTGAAAAATATTTAGCAAAAACATTAAATCAATCAACAAACAAATTTCAAACTCTCCTATTCCTATTAATCAACATATTCAATATTCACATTAAACATTAGAATATTGTCTGCCTAGTTTACTATAGAATACGTTAATTACTTTGAAGGGGATAGAAACTTATTTGAAGGTACTTCTTTTTCTTTTTTATAGAGATAATTTAATCCAATATCATTTCACATAACCATTATAGACTGAAATAAACGAGGAAAATTCATGTGAAATATTCGAAAAATAATTTCTAGTTCTTTGCTTAAATGATAACAAGAGAAATTCTAACAATCTACACTAGTCCTACTAATATTAAGCAAGCTCATTTTTGATTCATTCTTCAGTCAACAATTTGTTTATAACCAACAAAGTATGAAATATACCGTTTTGCATTTCTTGTGTCAACTAAAGGATGTCAGTGTGGGTAAAGTGAAGACTTACATCCTCAAAAAATGATACTTCCAAGGATGAAATGATAATAAACATTGATGTATTTCAGTTTTATAGATTAAAACAGACATTTTAATCAAGCTAATTTAATCAATTTAGTCTTTTATCAAAATTGATAAAAATATTCATTTTCAACAAGGAAATCTATATGAATTAATCGTTATGTTTGTTTTACCAACGCTTTGTTCATTTAAGAAAATAAATTTTTTTTTTTTCGTTAATATTGAAAGAACTAATTTTTATTTGTTTGCAACAGTAAATGATAGAGGTATACATTAAATACTACATCAATAATGTAAGTAAATTACATCACAAACAGCTATTCTGTTTTGCATTTTCATTATTACCTAAACACAATTGTGTGCGTTGGACCTTATCAAATGATCATGTACATAAAACGAAAAAAAAAAGAGCAGTCATAAATCAATGTGTAATGCACTTGATTCTTTAAATAAGAGATGAGGACAAATTCATCTAAACCAGATATTTCTATTATTAATATCAATCATCAAGAAGCACCAGATCTTATTGAAGTACCACCTGAAACTCTTGCTAAAATAAAAGATGTTGGAAAAACAAATGATGAATCATCATCGATTTTTAATGAATGTTGGGAATGGATACTAGTATATGGAAAGAAATTCGGTGGATTACATGAAGAACGACCAAAACGTTTACCATGGCAAGAATATTTTTGGAGTTTTATTGGAGCATTTGTAGGTATTGCAGCTGTTGCTTTTCTACATTTCAGATTACTTGAACGGTAAATATCGTGTTTGTTATTAATAATAATAAAATAAAATCATTATTTAATATAGGCATCAACTAACACTTTTAATTGGTTCATTTGGGGCTTCTGCTGCTATTATATTTGGTGCACCCCGTTCTCAATTAGCTCAACCGCGAAGTTTAATTGGTGGACACCTTATAGGTGCTATATGCGGTTGTATAGTACGATTAGCTATTTATCAATTTGAAAAATCAGTAGGATGTGCTGTAGCAGTTGCATCAGCTATTGTATTAACACAATTAACTGAAACAAATCATCCACCAGCTGGTGCCACTGCTCTCATCGCTGTAACTGCTCATCCTATTTTACCTTGGGCTAATTTTCAATTTATTTTAATACCTGCTCTTAGTGGTGCTTTTACAATGTTATTAGTTGCATTAATTGTTAATAATATGGCACCTAAACGAACTTATCCTAGTTTTTGGTGGTAATTTCAAACATATGTACATACTTAATAAATTGAAACTGATTTTTCATTAGAAAGAAAATTCATAAACTTTATTTGATTATGTTATATGCAGTGATGGATCGAAATATCTTCGATTATCGCGAAATGATATATTTCATTATAGCATAAGAACAAAAGAAAGAAAAAAATTCTTACGTTACTGATATAAGACTTTTTTTTGTTCTGTAAATAGGAGTCGTGAAATTAGTGACAATAAATGTTCGCTTACAAATGTTTTTTTAACTTTATCAGGCTATATATAGTTAGAACTAGATGTCGAGGAAATTATCTGGAACCTAGTTATTATTATTTTTGCTATTTAGTATTTTCAAAACTAATACTGCCAACTATATTTTATAGTCGTTTATTTTGTTTTTCTGTTCTATTTAATATATATCATAACGCGTAAGAAACGTTTTATGTTCATTACGCCGCTAATAAAATGACTTTTCATTCGTTCTCCCGTGTCTTTTACGTACAGGTTGGTATCTATCATGGCTTTTTCTTTTCTCTTTTGTCACGACTTACGACGAAATGAAAATGAAGATATTATGCTTATTACGTCTTACGGCGCATCACTAGTTATATGTATATAGCTATTGAACCATGTTATTTTGAATATTTCTAGAATTTAATAAATACGTTTGATGATAATAATAAATAATTTGAACAAAGAGTATCGCATAGATTACTCATGTTTTTGTAATCTTAACAGTGTGTAATCATGTTTATTTGTTTTTAATACTATAACACAGAATTGATATTATTCGTCAATAAAATATGAATTCGATGAAGAGTTTTAATGATGTTTTTGTTTATTATTTCTATCATGCATCACAGTTTATCAGCTAGAATGAGAAATCTATACAGGAATATTATTTATTAACTGAGAAAATATGCTTAATATAAAAGTGATGAACAAAGAGAATTTATATGTATGCTATATATTTGCGAACTATAACTGTCAATAAGCAATGTGTTTTTCAACCTGATGTAATAGAAAAAAACAATTCAAGACCTAAATTGAACTGTCGGTCTGTGCCATGATATGGGTCTGGATGAATGTAGCTTACAGGTTCATGCTAAACCAAAATAGTTCAATGGATTCAATTATTTATTTTACTTCTTTTCGCCTCAGAATAAGTTAAATCGCAATTATAACTATTCTTGTCTCTTCTATTGAATGTTCTACATATTGTTATGCATTCAAAATACAACTCAGTCTGTAGCGACACCTAACGTTCGAAATAGATTACGACGTTATTAATACTAAATAGACTTTGATCAGACCAAAAGTTATAGTCTGGTATGATTAACAAATTTTCAGATGACAGTAATTCAAATCAACATGAAAAAATTCCACTTGATCTGATGGTCTGACAAATGCTTGTAGATCACCAGATCAGACTGGTAGTTCTGTTTGATACTTTTATTTTCTGTTAAACAAACAACTTGCAAAAAAGTTACGGTTTTAACTGATCTGTTATTTACAGAAAGTTTGCGATATGATCAATCAATTGAATCTTGTTGCATTTAGAAAAGAAAAGAAGAGGCTATTATAATGTATTTGATTGGCTTTAACAAAGTAGCAGTCAACAAATGACAGAATATTAATGATTGTTGTTGTCTTCCTTTTTTTTTTTTTATTTCTAAAATATATTTAATAGATTTCATAGATATGTTTTTTTATCATGTTTCTTATTCATTAAATCTCTATATTCTGTCAAACAAATGATTTTGATTAATACTATTTTTTTTTTTTTGAACAGTTTCAATATTTGCTTAAAATGTATTGCTGTATGAAGTATTGCTATTACATAATATTAAAGAGAAGAAAAAAAGTTCAAATGCATACTGAACTTCTATTCATTATTCATTTATTTACTTGTCTTATTCAATTTTTTGAATATAAAAACGAGAACTATACTTTTTTAAAAATAATTCTGTTTTTTTTTTTGTTTAATAGATGGAACTACGAAAACGATCATTAACTAGACAATTTGAAATGGATTATCGTAATTATAAATTAAAAAAACAAAAAAAAAGTAAATTAAATATTTTTATTTCAATAATATTGAAGTGAATTGTATTTTTTTTCTTTTTAGGTATTTCAAAAATAAAAAGTGAAATAGAAGATCTATCAGGCGAAATTTGGTTTGAATTATTTGCTTATTTTGATGGTCAATCTCTAATAAATTCATTTTCAAAATTAAATTCTTCAATTGAATCATTATTAAATGATTATCGTCTTCCAATTCATTTAAATATTTTATGTTCAAATTTATTAATTCCATATCCATTAAATTCAAATCAAATTGTGTCTCTTAAAATAGATTATTCTCATATGGATAATAATCCAATAATCGATATTAGTTTATTTGTTCGTCTTCGTTCACTTAGTTTAATTTCTATAAATGATGAACAATTAGAAAAGATAAGTAAATATCCATTGAATAATCTTCGTCAAATATCCATTGTATCAACATGTGCAAAATTTATTATAAAAATAATATTGATCTATTTTCCTAATGTTATTCGAATGATACTTAATTCAATGCAAAAAGAATTTCTTATTAAACCTTTTCCTCATGATAAAACTAATATAAGTCAAATTGAAAAATTAACACTTGATGGAAGAATTAAATTATCTAAACTTGCTCGTCTTTGGTCTTTTGTAAGACATCATATTTACTAAGGAAAAAAAAAGACATCAGTGAACATTTTTGTTTTGAATATTTAAGGTTCCTAATCTTCGGTCTCTTTCTGTTATTAATGGTGGAATTCATCAATGTGATTATTGGATGGATGAACATTTAATATCTAATCAGAAATTTCCTTCTAATTTATCATTCATGCATATAAATATTTGTGATGACGATATGAGTTTTTCAAATCTGGAACGATTAATTCCAAAAAGTGTTCGTTATTTAATAATTAGTGGTTCAATGGCTGATGATGATTTAGATGATTATTTATCATCAACAAATTGGATTCGATTAATGTCATTTTGTTCAAATAAACTTAATCGTATTAAACTTGATATATCATCATATTTTGATCCAAGTGATTCAGCTGGATTACAAAAAACATTATCAAAATTTCGAAAAAATCCTTTTTTTCATAATACAATTATTCAAAGTAAAAATTTTTTAATTACCATAAAAGGATATATTCAACCTGATATCTATCAATGAATGAATGATATTCTATACTTTGTTTTGTATCAAGCGAAGTCAGATGAGAAAAAAAGTTTTATTTTATTCTACTTGTTGTTTTTTTTATACAGTATGAAATAATTAGCTATTTTCTAGATAATGAATAAAAATTCTTCGTCAAGTGATTCTGTATTAATGGATACTTCATCATCAACTGTAACGACACAATCAGAAAATAATGATTTATCTTCAACAAATAAAAATATAAAACGTAAAGGTATTAAAGATGAATCATCTGGAGCAAATAAACGTTCAAAATTAATTGATATGGTTTTTTATGATGGAAATCGTCATCCAGCTGCTGTTCTACATGAACTTCGTCCTGAAATATCGTCTGATAAATATTCTTTTCTATTAGAAGAAATTGCTCCAAAACAAACACGTTTCCGTTGTTCAGTAACGATTGATCAAAATGTTTCAGAACCAATAACTGCTATTGGAGTTGGAAGATCAAAACAATTAGCAAAAAATATGGCTGCACAGGTTAAATATTCAATTATACTCAATTTTATAGATAAAACTACATTAAATTTCAGCATATATTTTTAATCATATAGAACTTCCATCAATCATTGTTCAAATTTCGACAACTCTTTTTGTAGAAAATAGTTACATTGACTAAGTCTACCAAGTAGATAGACCTTTTAGAAATTGTCTACCTACAACAAAGAACATAGGTTGAACAATGTCATGTCTTTTTATATTCTAGCTTATGTTCTAATAAAAAGTTTTTGTTCGGTTTGAATTCTATATTAAACAGTTAATAGTTC